GGCCGCGCACGACAGTAATTTCAAGGGCAGCAAGTTCCCGAGGCAGCACCGACGTGGCATCGACCTGCCGGGGATATATCCGGAGGTTTTTATTCGCGCCGCCGATCGCGCCAGCGGTTGGCGCGCGCGGGCGCTGCAGCCGATCGACAAGCTTTTCGGCCACGATCTGGAGAAGCAGGGCGAGCGCAAGGCAGTGCCCTGCGCGCTTTACAAGTGGCAGCCGCGCCTCGTGATCACCCAGCTCCCGTGCACCTGGAGCATCAACTACAAGGACTGTCCGGAGGTCTTGCAGGGCCTTCGAGATGGCAAACGGCGTTTCCTAGTCTTCACGAGGGACATCTTTGCGATGACGCCCCGCGGAAACCGCGCGCTACTGGAGAAGCTGGCCGCGGCCGACTCCTGGCGCGAGGACGTCATCATGGGACTTGTTCGAGCGCCTCCAACGCGCGCGTGGCTGGGGTGGTCTGCAAGAGCGACCTGCCCCTGAGGCAGCAGGTCAGGTGGTAGTCAACGCAAACCCTGCTCATCCAGAAATTCGACCGTCATTGCGACCATCACTATCAGCATCAGGAGGTCTCTCGCGACGGCCCCTCTGGCAACGAGAAGCGTTCGCACGTCTACGCGTTGCAGCTGGCAGACGCGAGACGCCGAGGCCACGCCGGAGTCATCGAGCCAAAAGAGCCAGGACACGGCGTTCACATCTGCAGTTCGTATCCAGTGAGCTACGAGGCCCCAGCTCATCCTGTGTACCGAGTATGCCATGCAGCTCCAGGAATATCAGAGCCACGCTGTTGGGCGATCATGACTGGCGTGGTGGACTGGTCGAGAAGTTCATCCTCTGGCAGTTTTGTTCAGTATACAGGCGGCCTTCCAGCCGAAGGCGAAGTGACTTCGACGTGAGTTTGATCACGACGTACATAGGTGCTCTGTCCTGCTGCAGGGAGACGATGAGTCTGTCATCGAGCACGAGTGCGTTCCCGACGTGCGCGCCCCTCGCAAAGGTTCTGGACACCGATCAAGCACGCGCTCTTCGTGGTCGGTCGTGCTCTGGCAGATCAGCCTACACCGCCTCGCCCGACAGTCGGAGGTGAATCGCGGTAGCCAGCGACTGTGCCAGATGAGCCACAGCCGGAAGAGCTGCGGCCTCCTTTAGCCCAACAACGAACAGGCGACGAGATTTGGTTTGCAGGTCAGCCGCTCACACAAAAAAAGAAAGAAGAAGATGGGGCGGCACCTGTAGCGGTCAGGACGCATCAGAACCTGAGCCACCCACTAGAGACCACTAGAGTCCGACTTCACGGGGCTCTTGAACAACAGTGACGCTAGTCAGGTGGCAATCGACCTCAGCCACAAGTCACGATGCAGTTAATGTCCGAGGGGTGTTAAGCCACGACGTCCGAGGCCGGCCAGGATACCCCCACGCTGGTTCATTCAATTCACGAATCGGCTTCAACTTCTTCTACCGACCTGACGCATCGTACAGCAAACAGGCGTTTCTGAGCAGATTCGTGTCTTGTCTGCTCATGCTGGTCGTTTGCTGTCTTTAGAGATATCCAGCACTGGTGCTGGAGTTTTTTTTGCATGCGTTGGTTGTCATTGGGGGGGGGGGGGGGGGGGGGGGGCGCGGGCATCCTGATGTGGTGGTGCGCGATCGCGACGGAGCTTTTCAGGCATATTCGTCGAGCGTTTCGAGGAGCGCGACGTGCTGGTCGAGGATCCTCGTGCTGGGGCTCGCTAGCAGCCGGGATGCGTGGAGGGAAACATTGCACTTTGAAGGCATATCCCGATGCTCGTGGTGGGCGCCATGCAGTTGATCGACCCCGAGGATATCAAGATGATGACTGCCTCTCGATCAACCATGCGAGGAATTCTCGAGTTCGTCCGTGCGGATCTTCACTATAGCAATGGACTTTCGGGATGGATCCCAGGATCCCAGGTGGCATCGCCGACCCTGCCAACTCCGCAGCGGCGCGCAGCGCGAAGACCGCCGACGCCGAGCTCGTCAAGAGTTCTCGTATGGGCCTCGGCGGACATCGTCTTCGCAGAGTACGATCGGTCTGTGAGTCTCTCGAGCTGCCCACGCGGCGCGTGAATAGGCCCTGCCGAGGCGACTGCGCCGCAGGCTGCCGCGCTGCGTTCTGGGGGGTAACCAAAGAACAAGATGGGCAAACAGTGCCCGGCGAGGTTCATCGTCGCGACGGCGGTCGGACCTGGCGGCAGTAGCGGACCAGGCGATAACAACGTCTGGGCGCAGTCGTCTGGTCATCCTATTCGGGTGTCCAAGGAACAGCTTCGCGAGGCCCACGGCGCGGATATGTGGGTCCCTGACGACGCTGACCTGGCTGAGGTATGCCGTGCTGCTCCGGCACCTCTTGAACGATTTCACGACGAGTGAGCCGAGCCACCCGCGGAGCTGGATCCCACCGGCGTCGCGGTCTCTGTTCTGGCGCAAGCATGGCAGGGGGGAGGTGACGAGGATAATTTTCGACCACCTTTGCAGCAGGCATTGCCAGAAGCTGCACCTCCAGACGAGGCTTTTCCACCGCTCGAGACTCCTTCGGAGCATCGAGAGTACGCGGGGGGCAGCATCCTTCCGGCTGTTGAGGCTGCTGTCGATGGACCTGCGGCGAGGCGAGCTCGCTTCGCTGAGCCAGTGGATGCCGATATGTCTCCGACTTCCTACGCGCCAGGCGCGTTCTACGGCGCCAGCGGCACTGACGACAAGTCGGTCGCGCCTCTTTTTCGATTGCGACACCGCGCGCACCTCGACGCCAATGTCCGCGAGGTCCACTTCGACATCAACGGCCGGTTCAGCTTGGCCAAGAAGGACCAGATGGCGTTTATCAGACACCTTCCGCGGTCGCAGATCCCCGAGGAGCAGAGGAATTTCATCGCGGCGCTCTGGTACCATCCTGGCGGCGCTTCTTAGCTGCGTCGAGAGTGCATCGAGAGTGGCCCCGAGAAGCGCACATGGATCATCCCATCAAGCGTCTGCTACCGTGACAGGAGCGCTGATCGTGGAGTTGCCGAGGTGGACGCAAAGGTTAGAATCGTGGGCGCCGGTGGCAACGATCCAGACATCATGGCCCTGCTTCGAGATGGACAAACATTGACCCGAGAGGGTGTTTACATCCTACTGCAGACCGTAGCAAGCTGGAACTTCAACCTGTTCGGCGGCGACGTCACCACAGCCTCCCTCCAGGCCGACCAGGCCAAGGCCAGAGAGACAAGCCCATCTACCTGCGCATGCCGGCCGAAGGCCTACTGGATGTACCCCGAGGTGCTCTTCTTTGGTACACCGCGTCATCTATTGTTTTTCGAACAGCCCGCGGCTCTGGTGGCGTGATCTTCGAGGTTTCATGTTCAGCATTGGCGGCAAGCACTGGTTGTTGGACAAAGCGTTCATTTTTCTGGACGTCTGGCGCTCATCTTTCTTTACAGATCAGGGCGTCTGGTGCTGATTGTGGGTATTCACATGGATGGCATGATTGGCTTTGTGGATCCGATGATGGATTTTGCTGTGGTTTGACAACTTCAGAATCGTTTCGGGCATGGTCCATGGCCGGACGGCGAGCTGACATATCTATTGTGGCAAGCGCGTGGCCAAACAAGGAGATGGAAGCATCTTGCCAACCCGAATAGTCAGTGTGCACCTGCACCCCCACCACGATGGAGACCGGCGACACCGGACGCTACCTTGCGGGCGTAGGAGAATACGATTGACTCAAGGGGTGTAGGATCGCGCCAATGGTTGGTGGGAGAACCAAGGTTAGACCTCGCAGCGGCAACGTTTTTTGGCCAAGGCTCGAACCCAACGATATCCACCGCATCCCTCGCGAGGCCCGCGACTCCAAGGGTGCCGGCCTGCGGGTGGCAGCTTTGGACTTGTCGCGCGCTGCGCTCGTGACCTTTACCGATGCTGCTTGGGCAAGCGCTCAAGAGAATCAAAGCCAGGCAGGATCTAATGTTTTCTGTGCCGACACCGACTGCTTGACAGTACGCGGTGAAGCCGCGTCTTTGCTTGATTGGCATTACTTTAGCAGCTGAGGCGATGGCGATGGGTGCCGGAGTGGATGCAGCAGAGATCCTCCGCCATCCCCTTGCTGAGATGTTGTTAGCTAATTTTCGGCCAGGTGTATCTGGCAAGCTTCCAGCGAGTTGCATGCCCATTTAAGGTGGCGCCATATTGCAAGTTTCTGTACGATATGTTTACTAAAGGAGGCATGCCTTCAACTACTCTCAAGCGTCGCCATGGCATTGGTATAGCAGTTGCCGCTCATACCGTTGAGGACTTAGATGACGAGAGCGCCAAACAGACCGTGTTCTGGGTTCTGACCGACCGCCAGACAGCCGACCATCCCACCAAGATTAAGTCCCCCAGTCAGTTGCGCGATCTGTTGTCTAAGAACTGGTTGAGCTCACCATCGGGCGAAGCTTTGTGTAAGTGGCCCTCGTTTCATTGAACGGTTAGAGACATACCTGAGCTGGCACGCGTTATTTCTATATGGACAAATATCCGAGCGGCGCGTGCGTGAACCCGGGCCAGCGCTACAAACCGTTCATTTCCGCCTGATGGTGCAGCTTCGTCCAGGGAGATTCGAGGCAAAAGAAAAGATAGTGAGTGCAACTTCGCTATGCACATCAATGCTACCTCACCCCATTCATTCGCTCTTGCATGTGCTGCTCTCGCCCTCTCGCCCCGATGCCTTTCTTGGCCCGTTCAGGGCCCTTGAGCTTGCTGGCGCGAGGCGCCCGCCGTGTGCACCCGGCGAGACAGAAAGACACCGAACATGTGAATCGGTCTTTGCTCCACCACAGCAGCAAGAACCAGATCTGTTGCTTTTTTGTTTCGGACTCTTCCTCCTACTCCGCCTCCTCCTCCTGTTCCTCTTCCTCCTCCTCCTCTCCCTCCTCGTCCTCCTCCTCCTCCTCCTCCTCCTCCTCCTCTTCCTCGGCGGCCCGTTCGCCGGACCCCACCGTCGCGACGTCCGCTGCGCCAGGTACCCGATGTTGCATGAAGTCGGTGAGGAAGGCGCGTCGGTGAGGGGCCGCTGCTGCCCGCCGACCTTGGACGGGGGCGCGCGCGCGGGAAGCTCGCGGCGCGTCGCTGACGCCCCTGATGCGCGGGCGCTTTCCTTCCGAGGTGCCGTCCTCGGAGTTTCTCAGAGCAGAGGCGGTCCCCCAACGGCTCGCGATGAAGGCTTGGGGAGGTGGAGGCGGAGGAGGAGGCGGAGGAGACCCGCGTCGCATTCCCTTTGGGGGGCCCTTCTTGTCGCAAGCGCAGTCGGCCCACGCTCAAACGCGTGCCCCTGTTCCCCCCGCCTGCCACTAAGTGTGTGTGTGTGTGTGTGTGTGTGTGTGTGTGTGTGTGTGTGTGTGTGTGTGTGTGTGTGTGTGTGTGTGTGTGTGTGTGTGTGTGTGTGTGTGTGTGTGTGTGTGTGTGTGTGTGTGTGTGTGTGTGTGTGTGTGTGTGTGTGTGTGTGTGTGTGTGTGTGTGTGTGTGTGTGTGTGTGTGTGTGTGTGTGTTGTGTGTGTGTGGTGTGTGTGTGTGTGTGTGTGTGTGTGTGTGTGTGTGTGTGTGTGTGTGTGTGTGTGTGTGTGTGTGTGTGTGTGTGTGTGTGTGTGTGTGTGTGTGTGTGTGTGTGTGTGTGTGTGTGTGTGTGTGTGTGTGTGGGTGTGTGTGTGTGTGTGTGTGTGTGTGTGTGTGTGTGTGTGTGTGTGTGTGTGTGTGTGTGTGTGTGTGTGTGTGTGTGTGTGTGTGTGTGTGTGTGTGTGTGTGTGTGTGTGTGTGTGTGTGTGTTTGACGAGGAGAGGCGAAGGGGGAGAGGGGCGCACGAGGGCACCACCCAGATCGGGAGAACCTGTCCGCGGCCGTAGCCGCGGCGCCTCAGCCTAAGCAGGCGCAAAAGGAAGAGGAGGAGGAGGAGAAGGAGGAGGAGGAGGAGGAGCAGGAGCAGGAGGAGGAGTCGGAGGAGGAGGAGCAGGAATGGTGTTTGGGGCCCCCTCGTGTGCAGTTCCTTTCGATCATGGATTGGTGGGAGTCAAGAGAGAGCCACTGGAAAGAGGAGGAGGAGGAGGAGGAGGAGGAGGAGGAGGAGGAGGAAAGGACCCTCCCCTCCCCCTCCCTTTGTCTCCACGCTCTGTCCCGCGCTCTCCTTCCCGTGGCGCTACCCTCACTGTGCCGCGCGCTCCCAGTCTCGGCTCCTCTCCCCCCCCCGACGCGGCGAGGGCCGCCGTGGGGAGGGCAGGGCAGCTCCGGCCTCGGGCCCGGCGCCCGCAGATCGAGACTCGAGGGAGAACGGGGGCGGAGGAGGACGACCAGTCTGGAGAGGAGGAGGAGGAGGAGGAAGAGGAGGAGGAGGAGGATTCCAGACGCAACAGCGGTGTTTCGCAATGAAAATGTAGGGGAACAAGAGGTAGCATAAGCATAACAACTCGGAGGTCCGCGCGGATTTCTCGGATCGGCGCTGGGGCCCCCGGGCGGCGCCTCCGGCGCCGCCCCTGGCGCGCTCCGCGCGCCAGGGAGGGGGGTCCAGCGCCGATCCGAGAAATCCGCGCGGACCTCCGAGTTTTCATGTTTATGTCATTTTTTGTTCCCCTAATATTCCTTCGAAGTTCCCTCGTCTTGGGTCCCTGCCAGAAAGTGTTCTCGTTGCGGAGAGTGCCGTCCGATCAGAAGACGAGCGTTTGAACAGCTCCACTTGAAACACCGTGTCTGGGACTTCAGCGCCGCGAATCAACGCGGCTGTTGCACCGAGGCAATCCTAAACCGTGTCAAGACCCGAGTCCTCGGATTCCAATACAGTTGATCAACATGAATGCTGCGCCTTCGCAATCCTAGATCGCTCGGGAACGCGCTGCACAGTTTTAAGGCGGATATGCGCGGCGCTAAGGTGGGAGCCACATTTTGAAAAAGGCTCGTCTCCATCTGTGAAGCCGTTACGGACTTTCAAACCAAATGTGTTCTGCGTTGAGTCGAGAGCCACATTGTCAATGCACCTGGCGCTAGGGCGAGGTCTACAGTTTGAAACGGATTCCTTCTCCGTGTTTAAAAGTCTTGCAATGTTTTCCAGACACATGCGCGCGGCGCTAAGGCGAGCGCAACCGTTTGAAAGCGGCCCACCACCCATCCGTGAAGCTGTTTTAAATTTCGAGCCTCAGGATCATGGATGGTGCGAAAGTCTCAGGCGAAGCGCTCTACCCGCCCTACTGAGCCGTCATGCGACAGGGAAGAGTTTTGGGGAACGCTTCATGGCCAGTGCCGCCGACCCTGAAAGGGGGACGACGACGGCGACGACGATGACGACGACGACGCTCTGGAGCCCTTCATGGGGCTCTCTTGGGAGCCTTGTGGGCTCTGTGAAGCTTCGTGGTTGGTCACTTGGAGTCGCCTGGGAGCGGATCTGAGGCATCTTTGGGGCATGTGGGGACACACGCAGCTTTCCGCAACAGCAGATCAGAGTTAGGAGGGTGCCTCCGAGGGGGGAGGGGGGTCGGGGAGGAGGGGGGGGGGTCCCCTCGACCACACGGGCGAGGCGGGGGGGGAGATGTCCTGACTTCCCCTGGCCACGGCGAGACCGCTTCCCCGTTCCCGTGTCCACGGGGGGGACCCCCCGGGGGGGGAGGGGGGGGCAGTCACGACTCCCAGGGCCCCTCTGTTGAGGGGGGGGGGCGGCGACCCCCTTTCCCCACGGCGGAGCCGCCCAGGGTGGTGCGCGGCCCCGTTCGCGCCCAGGCTGCGGGGACGCTTCGGACGGAACGCTTGTGCTTGGATTTAGGCGCGTCTCCTTTTGTGGTCTTGCGATCACAGCGGTGTGGCAGGCACTGCACTGGGGCCACCCCATTGCGTAGCCGGAAATGTCATGCGCGGGCATTGCAGGCATTTCTGACGCGAGAATTTTGTTTGTAGGAGTACACATGCTGTTTCTCAGAAACCCACGACCACCGCAATGTGGTTGATTGCGTTTGGGCCACCCGAAGGCTGGCCGCCATGGGATGTTTCACAGGCGCGGTCGCGCCCATCTTGCGGGGTCGTCAGCGGCGAAGCGTTGTTTGCTCCACGCGCGCGCGGTTATTGTCGGGGCCATTTGACCAGGACGATGTGGCGGAGGCGGGCCTGTCTCTGCCCAGAACCCCGAGGTCACTGCTACGCTGTAGGCGCGGCGCCTGGGCCGCCGAGAGGGGAGCCGCCGGGGGTTCTTCTGCACGAGCCGGTGCGCGCCCAGAGGGAGGGCCAGTCGTGGGCGAAGCGCTTGTTTCTGAAGGCGGAGGCGTCTCCTTGCAGGACCCCGCGATCACCGTGGCGTGGCAGGCGCTGCATTCGGGCCACCCCGAGGCGGAGCTGTACTGCCCGTGGGATGCAACATCGTGGCCTGTTGTGACCCGGGCAAGTTGCAGAAGAGAGGGGCGGAAGAGCGAGCCTTGCCGAAACACTACATCTCCATCGTGCGCAGAGTGGTAGACACAGCCTGCGCGAGTTTCCCGCTGGGGTGCATTGGTATATTGTTGGACTGGCCAAAAAACATTGGGCAGACTCGAAGACGATACGCTGGTTGAGTCGCTGCGTCGATTTGGGATCCCCGCAAATCGTTGCTGGAATATGCAAGCAATGGTTCTCTTCCTAAAGCACAAGGCTGGGGATTCCTCACCAAAATGACACAAGCAAGGATTTCTCTGGGCTGACCGTTTTTTCCGCATTTGTTCATCATCGTATTGTTTGTCATGTTCGACGACGTCGGTCAAAAGATGGAAGCAGCAAGACTTGTCATTCAATAGCACCAATGTTTCGCTACCCTTTATATATGTATATGTTACGCGCTGATGAAACCATGCTTGCCAGCACTGGCACACATAAGCTCCAGCTACTGCTTGACTTTGTCATCAACGAGGAAGCGCTGTATGAGTTTAACTTGACTTTTAGATGACACACGCCTTACATGTCAAACGCGATTGCGTTACGTTAGCTCCGTCTGGGAGCCCGGTGAAAACCGCGGAGCTGACAATCTATTTCGGGGCGCTTATCACAGCAGATGGGGCAGCGCAGCCATAAAACGTCACGACGAATCGGTCAGCCAAAGGGTTTTTCGCCAACCTTCCTGTGGTGTTAGGTCCTCGTTTTGAAGAGGCAGTGACCCGCGTTCCTCGCCTCCTCTCCTCTCCTCCTCCTCCTTCTCCTCCTCCTCCTCCTCCTCCTCCTCCTCCTCCTCCCCCATCCTCCCTCGTCCTCCCATCATCATCATCATCATCATCATCATCATCATCATCATCATCATCATCATCATCATCATCATCATCGTCATCGTCATCGTCATCGTCATCATCATCATCATCATCATCATCATCATCGTTATCATCACCCATCATCATCATAACCACCATCATCATCATCCATCATCATCAGCATCAACATCATCATCATCATCATCATCATCATCCTTATCCTCATCGTCATCGTCATCGTCATCGTCATCATCATCGTGGCCCCAGGGGGGGCCTCACCGAAGGTCCCAGTGGCGCAGTTCGCATGCGTCTCCCCCACCCAGTACAACGCTTCGTGGCCCCATAGGGAGCTCTACCGAAGGTCCCAGTGGCGCAGTTCGCATGCACTTCCCCCGCCCATTGCAGCGCTCCGTGGCCCTATGGAGAGCTCTACCGAAGGTCCCACTGGCGCAAGTCGCATGCGTTTCCCCTGCCCAGTACAGCGCTTCGTGGCCCCAGAGGGAGCTCCACCGAGTGTCCCAGTGGCGCAGTTCGCATGCGTCTCTCCCACCCAGTACAATGTTTCGTGGCCCCAGAAGGGGGCTCCACCGAAAGTCCCAGGGGCGCATTTCGTTTGCGACCCCCCCCCACGCAGTACAGTGTTTCGTGGCCCCAGAGGGAACTCCACCGCAGGTCCCAGTGGTGCCGTTCGCATGCGTTTCCCCCACCCAGCACAGCGCTTCGTGGCCCCATAGGGAGCTCCACCGAAGGTCCCATTGGCGCAGTTCGCATGCGCCCCCCCGACCAGTACAGCGTTTCGTGGCCCCAGAGAGAGCTCCACCGCAGGTCCCAGTGGCGCAGTTCGCATGCGTCTCCCCCACCCAGTACAACGCTTCGTGGCCCCATAGGGAGCTCTACCGAAGGTCCCAGTGGCGCAGTTCGCATGCACTTCCCCCGCCCATTGCAGCGCTCCGTGGCCCTATGGAGAGCTCTACCGAAGGTCCCACTGGCGCAAGTCGCGTGCGTTTCCCCTGCCCAGTACAGCGCTTCGTGGCCCCAGAGGGAGCTCCACCGAGTGTCCCAGTGGCGCAGTTCGCATGCGTCTCTCCCACCCAGTACACTGTTTCGTGGCCCCAGAAGGGGGCTCCACCGAAAGTCCCAGGGGCGCATTTCGTTTGCGACCCCCCCCACGCAGTATAGTGTTTCGTGGCCCCAGAGGGAACTCCACCGCAGGTCCCAGTGGTGCAGTTCGCATGCGTCTCCCCCACCCAGCACAGCGAGCACTCCGGAGCCCCAGAGGGAGCTCCACCGACGGTCCCGGTGGTATGCGTCTCTCCCACCCAGTACAGTGTCTCGTGGCCCCATAGGGAGCTCGTCCGGATGGTCCCAGTGGCGCAGTTCGCATGCGTTTCCCCCCCGCAGTACAGCTCTTCGTGGCCCCATAGGGAGCTCCACCGCAGGTCCCAGTGGCGCAGTTTGCATGTGCCTCCTCCACCCACTACAGCGTTTTCGTGGTCCCAGAGGGAGCTCCACCGAAGGTCCCAGTGACGCAGTTCGCATGCGTCCCCCCCCCACCCAGTTCAGCGCTTCGTGGCCCCGTGAGGAGCTCCACCGAAGGCCACAGTGGCAACGTTCGCATGCGTCTCCCCCACCCAACACAGCGTTTGGTGGCCCCATGGAGAGCTCCACGGAAGACGATACCCACAATTGCGGTATTCACACTTGCATATGGTTGAGTTTTTCGCCAGGCTAATTTCAAACCCAAAACTATGCACATTGCTGGTCGCACGCCATCACCACACATGAACAAATAGAGCTGTCATTGCAACTGTGCTGCCGAAGGCTTTGTACAATGTTACGGACAATGTTGATTCCATCTTGTCATTGAAGGCGGACAAACACCGCTTGGATGGTCTCCGTGCCCGGCGCTTTCGTCTCATTCGATCGATGCCCTATTTCTTCGTTTCGGGGGTATCGAACAAACATCTTTTCTTGAAGGCAGGACAAACGCCTTTCAGAGTTTTTTGACAGGCGAACAAGCAGAATGGTCAAATACCGTCGCCGCTTTTCTGCACGACAGTTTGCTTAGAGCTTTGACCAGCGAGTCTGGATGTGATGAGCCACGGAGGTGGATTTTAAAGCGAAGACGTGAGAGGCCCACAAGAATGGGCCGAGTGCTTTCACAGACTGCTCGATAGCTAATGCAATTAACCTCCCCTTCTCTTTTCCTTTTCCTCCGCCCACTCTGCGCCCCCTCCCTTCCCCCTCTCCCGGCGCTTACGTTTGGCAACCGCGCACATTCTCGTGCGAAAAATGCGCGTGCCTTGGACCGGCCTTCACGAGTGCACGCCGGCAGCTTTTTAGTATAGTTTTGCCAATTCGTTGATCTGGAATATGTAAGCCCACCGTGCTCTTTGCGATTCCCTTCCGATGCGCCGCTGCCTGGCGCTTGGTTTGCATGACTGACGGCGGAGTTGCCAGGGGGGGTATCGCGCGGGCCCTTTCGCGCCCAGATCGTGGGAATGTCTTGTGCGGTGCGCATGCTTCCGGAACTAAACGCACGGCATTTGGACCGTCGATGTTGGAACCGACCAGCGGTGGATCACGGGCCTCATGAGTGCAGAGTGCGTTCAGCATCAAATAAGCATCGCCATCGCCATCGCCATTGTCATCGTCATCATCCCGACCCACGCGTGCCCAGACCCGTTTACAATCAGAACCAGTCGTGCTTGGTCGCCCAGCAGTGCTGTCACGCAGACGCGCATACGCAGGGAACTCGCCAGAAACGCAGAGATGCACGTATCGGGGCCTCTGCGTCGAACGATTGTTGGGATATCTTGACCCGTTGGACCACCAATGTCTGCACAAGAGACAGGCTCAAGTCACGTATGCGATGACAGTGGATGGCAGAACGACATTCGAACGCGTACATCTGTGACATGTGCGGTGCGGCGATGCGACATGAAATGTGTCAGCGCGCAACACGTGCGTCGTGCGTCGTGCAAGCGGGTGGGTGAGCGAGGGCGGTTTCCTTTGATAGATTGCATGCGCAGCAAGAGGGAGCTTTAAGTCATCGACATATTATGTCTCTCCTCATCGGGCTCCTCATCCTGCACGGGGACGGGCGCGAGGGGAGTACAAGCACGCCACATGTGTGAACAGCGGGCTCCGCAGAGGTATCCCACTGCAGGAGTGGACGGGGGGCAGGCGGGGGCGAGACCGTTGGATCGGGAAGCACGTCCTGGTGGTCGCGAGTAGGAGGAGGAGAAGCAGCAACGGCAGGATGTAGACAAGGCGTGGCACGGGGGCCTCGATCGAGGGAGGGGGGCGTGCAGCGGTAGGATGAAGTCGGACACGTCCCTCCACAGGAGGAATATTCCACAGTTGTCAAAAAAAGAGTCCGGGGACGATTGTCCTACTTTTTCTGACGATTTGGGGGGGCGTTTGTTGATTCTGCTTTCAGGTTTCCTCCAGAGTCCGCTCGCAGAAGGACACGCCCGACCCAACGGGAGGAACGGGGAGGGCTCCTCCTCCTCCGCCGCCGCCTCCTCCTCCTCCGCCTCCTCCTCCTCCTCATCCTCCTTCTCCTCCTCCTCCTCTTCCTCCTCCTCCTCCTCCTCCTCCTCCTCCTCCCCCTCCTCCTCCTCCTAGGGGCGAGCCGCGGAGAGGCCATCCTGGGGCGCCACTACATCCGGACCTTTGTGGAGAAGGATCGCGCGCCGCCGGCGCCCCCCCAGACGGCTCGGAGGTGGACAGACCTCCTACCCTGACGCCTCGATGCAGGAATGGGCCGTCTGCGGCTGGCGAGAGGGCGTCGCGGCCGTCATTTCGGCGGGTCCCAGTCCGTCGGCTTCAATCCCAGGCTGTTTTCACTAGAGTCAGAGCGTGAATTACCTACCCCGCTTTTGCTTCCAGGCAAAACCAAGTCATACCACGCGCCTCCTCGTCAAGCGGCCTGACCAGTACAGGCCGTAGTTTGGCATCGCTTGGTATCTCTTGGAAGCGAGGGTGGTCAAAAGCGAGGTAGGTTTGTTTGTCCCCTATAGAGGGAGGTTTACTAACGGGAGGTTTGTCCACCGCCGACGCCCCCAGGACGGCCGGGTCGGAGGAGCGGGGGCGGGGATGGTCGAGGGGGGGGGGGGGGGCGGTCGGCGGTCCCAGGCCTCCACGACGAGGTGTTTTTTTTGTGTCGTCCGAGCGTTTGGGGCCAGTGATGATGGGGAGGAGGAGGAGGAGGGAGGAGGAGGAGGAGGAAGGAGGAGGAGAGGAGGAGGAGGAGGAGGAGGAGGAGGAGGAAGGAGGAGGAGAGGAGGAGGAGGAGGAGGAGGAGGATGGAGGAGGAGAGGAGGAGGAGGAGGAGGAGGAGGAGGAGGAGGAGGAGGAGGAGGAGGAGGAGGAGGAGGAGGAGGAGGAGGAGGAGGAGGAGGAGGAGGAGAGGAGGAGGAGGAGGAGGAGGAGGAGGAGGAGGAGAGGAGGAGAGGAGGAGGAGGAGGAGGAGGAGGAGGAGGAGGAGGAGGAGGAGGAGGAGGAGGAGGAGGAGGAGGAGGAGGAGGAGGAGGAGGCGGAGGAGTGAGGAGGAGGGGGAGGAGGCGGAGGAGGAGGAGGAGGGGGGGGGAGGGGGAGGAGGAGGAGGAGGAGGAGGCGGAGAGGGGGGAGGGGAGGAGGAGGAGGAGGAGGTGAGGAGGAGGAGGAGGAGGAGGGAGGGAGGAGGAGGAGAGGAGGAGGAGGTGAGGAGGAGGAGGAGGAGGAGGAGGGGAGGAGGAGGAGGAGGTAGGAGGAGGAGGAGGAGGAGGAGTGAGGAGGAGGAGAGGAGGAGGAGGAGGAGGGGGAGGAGGAAGGAGGAGGAGGGAGGTCGGGAGTCGGGAGGAGGACGAGGGCGAGGACGAGGATGTCTTTTTCCTCGGCTTCGGCCTCTGGGGCCAGCTTATCGGGCCCCGGGACCAGCAGGACAGATCCGGAGCGCACTTTTTTGCCTGCGGGAAGCGGTCGGGACCGCTGGGGCCGCGGACGGACAACGAACGGGTCGGCGGAAGTCAGGGCACGCAGCTGGTTTTCCCAGCGCCGCAGGCGCCAATTTATTAGGAAAGCGCCTGGCGGAACGGGTCGAAACCAGCTGCACGCAGCAGATATTTGTAACCCTCTCGTTTTCCCAGCCGACGGACCTCCCTCCCTCCCTCCCTCCCTCCCTCCCTCCCTCCCTCGTTTCGCGTCCCGGATATTCGTCGATGGTCGGGGGGGAGGAGGAGCATCGATGACAGGTTGCCGTTGGTAGCCCGTCAGCGTGTTATTCGTTCGTTGTTGTCCGAAGACTTGGCTTTCCTTTCTTCAACAGTAAAGTCCTGATGGGTTCCTTACTGCGGCGCGTCATTGGTACTTACTGCGGCGCGTCATTGGTACTGGTTTTGGCTCGCCGAGATGGCCCCTGAGGGCCAAAGCGCCCCCCCCACCAGGGTCCGTTTCGGTCCGCTCGATCCGATGCGATATCGATTCTGGCGGGCTCGATCTGATTCGATTATGATGATTTGGCGATTCGGTGGGTCCCGAGGCTCGGGACCGAGCCGAGGCAGCCCTATCCGGCGCACACTCCGATTCGACCCGATATCCCGATTCGATGCTGAATGGTCCAGCCTCTTTGGCAGGCCGAAGTGGAAGACAGTCGCGGGGAGCGTGCATCTTGGCGGCGCGCACACAAGCGGGTGGCGCGAGTGGGGCGGCTTCTCCAAACGGCCGGGGGGGCTCAGAAGGCGGAGGCCTGCTGGCAGGGGCCGGGAGGCCTCTCTGGAGAGGTTTTTGGCCTGCGAGAACACTAGACCGACGGCCGTCGCAAACTGAGGCCGCATCGAGCCGGAAATCAGGCCCCCTGGAGCCGTCTTGAGAGGTAGCTGTATTTGATTTCCTGTTTCGCCAATCGGCGCGGGCCCCCGACCCCCCCCCCCTCCCCAAAGAGTCAAAGACGGCAGCCGGCCCAGATTACAAGGGTACCTTTGTGTCTTGTGTCTCGCGACCCATGCCTCTTACATTCCTGTGGCAGCGTGGTGCTCGGAAGGGTCTAGTGTCCTCTCGCGTGTCCTGTCCAATTAAATCCGACTGGAGATCTTGGCTTCTTTTGGCGGAAGTTTTCAGCGGGTGCATCAGGCAACCGGGCCCGCCCCGCCCGCCGCCCCCCCCCCTCCCCATGGACACGCAAATTGCTGCTCTGCGCTGCTTTCTCGGGGCGCCCCTCTGGGAGAACAATGGAAGGGCCCCAGGGCGCCGGATGCATTCAAACACACATGAAAACTAGGGGTAGCCAGCTCTGGGGGCATCATGTGGAATTTTTTCAGACCTGCAGCCAGCTGCATTTTCCATTGATGTGCGCCGACTGCAATGCGTCCACCGCGTCGACAACGAATATCGTTCGTTGCGCTTCATGCCAGGTGGAACACGGCCACCGCGCCCGCAACCGTTGTTTTGCCACGTGGAATGTGCTTCCATCGGTCCGCCAGGAAAGGAGAGGGAGTGAGAGGCCTTACTGAGAGGAAAATGGTTAAGGGCGATTGGGTTTCATCGCAAATCATCCATGGGGGCATAGAGGGAGGGTACCAGTTGCTGCTTGATCATGATGGATCGAAGTCTCTCTGCACTCCGATGCTGCAAATCCTAGACCTTCGCCGCATCTTGCGAGAACCACAGCAAGCGCGCAGCGCGCGCGTGATTAGTTTTGCACATATTCCAGAAACCCAGTCCAAGAGGCCCCGAGGCTGCAGCACACCAGGGTCACCCAGAGTCACCTGAGGGCCCCCCCCCTCCCGAGACCTCCCCAGAGCCTTCCCAGAGCTTCCGCGGGGTCCCCCCAGGCACCCCCAGAGATTCCAGAGAAGTCCGAAGGGAGTCCAAGGCGGGCCAAGGTGGATTCTGCACGGGCCAAGATTGCTTTCAAACGGCCCAAGAGGCCGCCAAGACGCCCAAAGACGGCTGAAAGAGGACCCCCAAGGCGGCCCCAAGAGGCGAGGATCGTACCGTCTGTTTTTAGCATATTCGCTTTTTGATCTTAGCAGCGTCGAAGACGGCCCAAGAGGCATCCAGCAGGGCCCCGAGACGGCCCAACAGGGCCTCAAGATAGACCAAGAGTCGCCCAAGACAGCCCAAGAGCCCCCTAAGTTGGGCCCAAGAGTGGCAATTCGAACTGACAGCTTGATGTTTCCGCCCCAAGATGACCCCCGATACCACCACCACGCCCCCCCAATCATCCCCCACGAGGACCCAGGAGGCCCCCCAGAGGCCGCAAGACCAGGATATCGCTAACACATATTATAACGACTAAACAAAAGGACGCAAATAAAGATGGGGCGCGCATCTGTACTGTTGTTTGTCATCTGTTTTATTTGTCGCCAGGCACCCCCCGTTTCTTTTTTGAATTGTATCCTTATTTCCCATTTGCATTACTATGGTTATGCACTACTTATGTGTTACGCGCGTTCCTTATTTGTTCATTGTGCGCACTCTGTATTGGTTAAAATGTTCTTCTCTAGTGCGACAAGCCCGCTTGGTTCAAAATAGTGTGACTTGCTTGTTGCATGACTTTCTTTTGGGGACGTCCGGTATTCTCTACAACATTCATTGTTTTCAGTATTTGGGACCCCCCATTCCTTCCTTATGTTTGCATTACGTTTCGTAGTAATCGCTTCGCTCATTCCGCCGGCCCACATGCGCGCCTTGGAAGCCTTTTGGGGCTTCCTGGGGGCCCCTTCAGTCGCACGGCTCGAACTGTCCGTTCGTGTTCCCCCTCCTGGGCCCGTTTTGGGGCCGTGCTGGGGCTCTCTTGGTCTGTCTTGTGCGTCTCTTGGGCTGCCTCGGGGCCGCCTCGACACGTCTTGGGCCTTCCTGGGGGGGGCTCCTGGGCCATCTTAGGAGCGGTCTTGAGGACCCCTGGGGCTGTACTTGGAGCTTCGGACGCTCGAAGAGGCGACAGCGTGAAAAACATGGGAGAGCACAATCAAAGTCAAAGACCCTGGGGTTCCTAATAAGCGTCGGGGGTTACCCCCCCCACGGGGGCCAACCTCGCTTCGTCGTCGCGCCGCGACGGGGGTCGGAGCGCCTTCTGCGCTCGGTGGCTGCCCGCGATGGGGGTCGATGTGGGGCTGTCGGCGGGGGTGACGCCCCCCCGACGCTTAATGAGAAACTCAGAGTAAAGTTGTGTCTGTGGGCCCTCTTGGGGGGCCTCTTGGAGCGCTCTTGGAGCTTCTTGGGGTTTCTTCGGCTGCCTTGGAGGCCTCTTCGGGCCAAGAGCCTTGGCAACCTCCTGGGAAGCCTCTTGGGAAGCCTCTTGGGAAGCCTCTTGGGGGCTTCTTGGGGCCTCCTGCAAACCTCTTGGGGGCTTCTTGGGGCCTTCTGGCGGCCTCTTCGGGGCCGAGAGCTGAAATGTCCGTTCGGGTGCCTCGTCAGGGCCCGCTCTTGGAGCTCTCTAGGGGGCCTCTTGGGCCGTCTTGGAGGGCTCTTGGGCTGTCTTCGGGCCCTCTGGGGCTGTTTCGGGGCCCTCTTGGAGGCGTCGTTCGCCGTATTGGGGCGATCTTGGGGGCATCTTGGACCGTCTCGGAGCGCGGGTAAGACGAAAAGGCGAGAACGCTTGAATCTTCCAACATGATCGGCTCACGAACCCGGAAAGGAATACAGCAATGTAAGGCATGATAACGTTTCAGAGACATTTAATTGGGCGACGGGCAAATGCAATGCTGAGTGTGTCGATCTGGATGTACCGTGCCGAGGGCTGTGCTGTGCTGCGCCGTGCTGACTTGCGATGTGCCATGCCGCGATTGTGGTCTATAGCGTTGTGGATCGAGTCCTCCTCTGCATCCGAGTCCTGACCGGACTGATATGGATCTTGAGCTCGAGCTGCCTGAGCACATAGCATCTGCCCAACAGCTAATTGACAGTGGTCGTGCCAGGAGGACTCGCCGCGGAACGTCCCAAGGGACGCGCCAAGCGACGTGCCAGGGGACGTGCCACGGGAGACGCGCTACGGAACTTGCCAGTGGACGTGCCATGGGACGTGCCAAGTGACATGCCGCGCGACGTGCCAGGGGGACTCGCCACGGGACGTGCCAGGGAACGTGCTAGGTTGCATGTTTCAAAGTACCGATATCTGGATGTACCGTGCCGAAACCTGTGTTGTATTGCGTCGTGCTGAATTGCGCTTTATAGTGGTGTGGATCAAGTCCCCCTTTGCATCCGAGTCCTGACCGAACTGATCTGGATCTTAAGCTCGAGCTTCCTGAGCACATAGTAGCTGCCCCGCAGCAAATGGACAGGGGAACATGCCAGGAGGACGCGCCGCGGAACGTACCCATGGACGCGCCGAGAGAACGTGCCACAGGGACGCGCTACGGAACGTGCCAATGGACGTGCCACGGGACGTGCCAAGTGACGCGCCGCGCGACGTTCCAGGGGGACTCGCCACGGGACGCTCCACAGAACGTGCCAGGGAACGTCCAAAGTTGCAATGATGAGTGTATCGATCTTGATGTACCGTGCTGAGGGTTGTGCTGTGCTGCGCCGTGCTGAATTGCGATGTGCCGTGCCGCGATTGTGCCAGAGTGTTGTGGATCGAGTCCTCCTCTGCATCCGTGCCCTGACCGAACTGATATGGATATTAAGCTCGAGCTCCTGAGCACATAGTAGCTGCCCCACAGCTAATTGACAAGGGAACATGCCAGGAGGACGCGCCGCGGAACGTCCCATGGACGCGCCAGAGACGTCCCAGGGACTGCCATGGGGACGCACTGCGGGACGTGCCAGGGGGACGCGCTACGGAACGTGCCAATGAACGTGCCACCTCATGCTCGGACATCCGCTCGGACGTGAAAGCAAGTGGTTCGTTCGAGACATCCTCAACACACCTCCATGTCAGACGTCCGTTCCAGGCCCCCAGGAAGGCCTCAGGAGGCCCATGTTAGATACCCCCATAGGTGGCCTGGACACGTGAAAACACAAGGTTCTGCCATGATAGAACACCCCCGTGGGCGGCCTGGACACGTAAAACCACGCGGCGCCAATTCGGGACAATCATGTTAGATAATTGCCCCTGTGGGTGGCCTGGACACGTAAACACACGTGGGACCAGCTCTGGGCAACCATGTTATATACACCCCTGGGTGGCGCGGACACGTAAAAACACATGTGTCAAGCTCGGGACAGCCATGTTAGATATCCCCCTGGGTGGCCTGGACACGTAAAATTACATGGTGCCAGTTCGGGACAATCGTGTTAAATACCAGCCTGGGTGGCCTGGACACATAAAACCAGGGGGACGCGCTACGGAACGTGCCAATGAACGTGCCACCTCATGCTCGGACATCCGCTCGGACGTGAAAGCAAGTGGTTCGTTCGAGACATCCTCAACACACCTCCATGTCAGACGTCCGTTCCAGGCCCCCAGGAAGGCCTCAGGAGGCCCATGTTAGATACCCCCATAGGTGGCCTGGACACGTGAAAACACAAGGTTCTGCCATGATAGAACACCCCCGTGGGCGGCCTGGACACGTAAAACCACGCGGCGCCAATTCGGGACAATCATGTTAGATAATTGCCCCTGTGGGTGGCCTGGACACGTAAACACACGTGGGACCAGCTCTGGGCAACCATGTTATATACACCCCTGGGTGGCGCGGACACGTAAAAACACATGTGTCAAGCTCGGGACAGCCATGTTAGATATCCCCCTGGGTGGCCTGGACACGTAAAATTACATGGTGCCAGTTCGGGACAATCGTGTTAAATACCAGCCTGGGTGGCCTGGACACATAAAACGCATGGTTCAAGCTCGGGAGAACCATATTAGATATCCCCCTGGGTGGCCTGGACACGCAAGCACACGTGGGACCAGCTCTGGGCAACCATGTTAGATACCCCCCTGGGCGGCCTGGACACTCAAAAACACGTGGTTCCAGGTCGGGACATTCATGTTAGATATCCCCTTGGGTGGCTTGGACACGTAAAATTACGTGGTGCCAGCTCGGGACAATCATGCTAGATGTCCCCTGGGGTGGCCTGGATGTTTCCAGCTCGGGACAACCATGTTGGATACCCCGCATGCGTGGCCTGGATACGCTGAATTCGCGCTCCCGCTCGAGACATCCTCGCATTGTCTTCCCTGGAGAGGCCCCCAACGCGCCACCCCCTGTCCAGAGCAAGAAAACATCACTGGGACATGTGTTCGGATAGCGCTTTTCGGCCCCCCGTGCGTTTTCTGCTAATTAGGCGTTGGGCCCGACGCCATGTTGGATATCCCCACTGGGCGGCCTGGACACGTAAAAACACGTGGTTCTAGTTCGGGACAACCGTTAGATACTTCCCTGGGTGGCCTGGACACAGGACCACTATGTTAGATACCCCCCCTTGGTGGCCTGGACACTTGAAAACACACGGTGCCAGCGGAGGACCGCCATGTTAGATACCCCTCCTGGATGGCCTGAACATGTAAAAACACGTGGTTCCAGCTCGGGACCACCATGTTAGATACACCCCTGGGTGGGCTGGACACGTGAAAACACGTGATTCCAGCTCGGGACCACCATGCTAGATACCCCCTTGATGGCCTGCACCGGTAAAAACTCACGGTTCCAGCCCACCCAGGGGGGATTTCCAATATGCGGTCGTTTGAGGCGCCAGCGACGGACAACTTTGTTGGATACCCCCTTGGCCGACCTGGGTGCGTGAAAACAAGCATTTCGCCTGAGACATCCTTTGAATTCTGGCCCCCCACAAGGCCCCCGCTCGAGACATCCCCCAACTCTGCAAAACCAGCGTTTCGCTCGAGACATCCTCAACAATGTATGGCAAACAAGCGTTTCGCTCGAGATATCCTCAAAATTTAATCCGCCGGCCCACCTCGACCTCGATAATTATCAGGAAAAGAATTCGCCGGCCCACCTTAGTCATGGCATACCAGGGTTAGTCTGGCCATCCTTGGGGGGCTGTGATTTGCGAAGCCATCGCCACTTTCGAGTGCTGCTGGGGGCGGCCAGCGCATTGACGCCATACGCGGACTCAGATTACGCCCTCGCCGTCCCTGGGGGGCTGCGTTCTGCGAAGCTAGCGCCACTTTCGAGGGCTGCTGGGTCGGCCAGCACAGTGACGCCATACGTGGCCTCCCCCAAGACCTCTGGCAGTGTATGTCTATGCCGAGCTTCGTTCTAGATCAGGGGCTTGGCCGGAACAGGAGGAGGAAGGAGCCTGAGGAGGAGAGGGTTGGCGAGCTGCGTGTTCAGTGGGCACGGTTCGTGGTGGTTCTGGATCTTGTGAGCGAGCTGGTGTAGGCGATGGCAGTAGGCTTTCGTGTTCTCTATCCCTGACATTTCTTTCACCGCCCACAACCACCCCAACCCAACCCGAACGCCCCGATTTGCCCCCCATTTCCGGTAGGGGGAGGGGGGGGGGCGGATCGGGGAACAGTGCGAAAACACACATGGCGCCCGCACCACCCGCCAACCCGAAATTCGGCCGAAATTCGGATCTTCGGGTTGGGTTGGGGTGCTCTGGTAGGTAGCCATTCTTCGGCGGACGACCGTTGGCCGATCTTTCTCGGCCACTGCCACGACCTCTTGCAGAGTGACCTGCGTGTGGGCCTGCGCTTCCCGAGGACATGTTCGGCTTCCTTCTCGAGGTGCCCTCGGTCTCTGTCTCCGTCTCTGTCTCTGTCTCTCTATCTCTCGCTCTATGTGTATGTGTATATCTGCTTTTGTATATATATACACATATAGATATGTAGATGTATGTGTGTGTGTATATATATATATATATATATCCTCTGTCCCTGTCTGCGTCTGTTCTCCCATATTATTCTTCGGCTGTCTTCCCTCATCCCCCGCACTCATCCATATCTTGGGGAGGACGAGTGGGGGGATTTGGGGGGGTAGTAGTGCCAGTGGGGGTCCACATCGCCCCCTGGGAGGGCGTTGAGATGTAATTCCTCGTTCTACAAATCCCAGCGACGCGTTGTCCATCATCGTCGTCATCGACATCGTCACCCGCTTCAGCGACCAGTTATCGCCACCGCTGGGGCATTCGTTTCTATCTTATTGCCGAAGCAGCAGGAGATGCGGCACCTCCCCCTTCTCCGTCGATCCACCCCTCCACAGGAATGTTCCTCGCAGTATCGACCAATCATACCATTTGAGTCCCTAGTTCGGATATGGCATACGTCGTCGTGTTTTGTAGGATCCGGATCGATTTGTAATGACCCGAGCAAAGTGGACAGATCAGACATCATGCAGCGACGGGGGCTGGTAGAAGCCCTGCCCCGGTCAAAAGAAGGCCCCCCGTGCTTGCCCAGGATGGACGACGTTGCATGATTGGAGGATGGCAGCCCGAGAGGAGTCTGAGAAGCAGGGCTGCTTTGATGCGAGGTCGTGTCTCGAATTGCCAGAGGGAGGAGAGAGGAGGGAGGAGGGAGGACTGCCGAAGGGGGGGGCCACTCCGAGGCTCGACGGCGGGCCCATGGGGAAATTGAAGGTGAGCAGGCCCTGTCAGAAGGCGGCGGGGCTTCCCAGAAGCCCTCCAGCCTTACGCCTGGCATCGCTCGGACGTGTGCTTTTTTTTCTCGGCGAGAACCATCGAGGAGCATCCTTGATCATTTGTCGAAAAAAGCACGCACGAAACCGAAAAAAACACAGGGACTGGACGTCCGAGCGATGGCGAGTTAGGTTCCTGTCGTGTCGACTGGCGGCGGTCCCGCCAGCGGCGTTAAATTTTGAACGCCGCGGGCGACCCAGAACCGTTCGACGTGCAACGACTTGGACGTTTCGGAGACGGCCGATCGTTTCAGGTTGAACGCTCCCCGCGGTGTCAGACACCAACGCCGAAGTCGGCACGACACGAACTCGCCGCATGAGACGGCGTCCGTTCCTTGGGAGCATGTCTTGGGAAGCCTCTCGGAACGCCTGAGGCTCTTCTTAGCCTTTCCAGAAGGCCCGCCCCCTCTGTCTTCCCCCCCCCTGGGCGCGCCGCCGAAGGGCCACAGGGCCACCTTGAGCCTGGCATCGCTCGGCCGTGTGCATGTTTTTGTTTTCTCGGCGAGGGCCCTGGAGGAGCATCCTGGAGCATCGAGCAAAAAAGAAAACGCACGAAAGCGAAACGTGCACGGGAACTGGACGTCCGAGCGGCGGCAAGCACGAGCCCCCCCCTCTGCAGCGCGAGGTCTGCTCCTGCGCTGCCGCGGCGCGGCACGCCGGCCACGCCCCCAGTCCCCGGGCACCGACGTCCCCCGAGCTCTGCGCAGCCTCCCGCCCCGCGGAGCGGAGGGGCGCGCTGGCCGTCGGAGGGGGGGCACGGCGCGTCGCCGGGGCCGCCGCCGCGGCGGCGCGCAGGGCGACGCTTTCTGAGAAGCCCCGCCGCCCTCGGCGCGGAGGCCGGCCCGACCCCGGCGCGCCGCCGCCCGACCCGGGTGGCAGGATCGCCTTCCCCTCCCCGAAGAGGGGGGTGGGCGCGTCGCCCGGGCTCTGGAGTGGGCGCACTGAGTAGACGAGCGTAGCTCTCAAGGACGCAGGTTCGCTTCGGGGCCCTCGCCGGGATCCCGACCGTAAGCTCCAGCTCCTCCTCGCTGAGCATCGACGCCCCACGCTCTGGCGGCCCCTCGCCCCTCGCTGCCTGGAAGCTTCTCGGGGGGGGGAGGGGCACGACAAGATGTGACAATGCACTACCCGCAGCCCCGATCAGGCCCATCCATGGCCATGGGATGGTGAATGCTCCCTCAGGGGGGGCATGCGTCGACCCCCAATCACCCATTGGTGGCCGATAGGGGCCCGACAGTCCACCCCGCTCAGGACCGTGTGGTTTCGCAATATCGGGGACCTATCGCCGATCTACCGTTGATGTATCGCCGATTCCCCTGAGTGACGGGTTCGCCGCCATAGTCATATTGTATACGTTGCCTCTTACGCCCACACAACCAAAAGACATCAGGGAGCCGTTTTGTTTGTGCAACCTTCACCGCTGACGCTGCGGCAGCGTGCACCCACCAGCAAGGGCTTGGATACATAGTCTAGTTTCTGGTGAGAGTCTACTACTGGGGTGCTTGCGCTGGCTACGAGCACTCTTGGATCGTGTCGCCATCGGGAGCCCAAAGCGGTGTGACATACGAGATACGACCGTAGACAAGCACGACAATGGATCCACCGACTGACAAGCTACGGTTGAAGGTCATGTCAGGAACACCCCTGACCGATGCGGGCGAAACTATCCGTGCACACGCATACACATACACACATACACACATGCACACATTCATACATACATACATACACGCGTACATACACACATGCATACAGACATACATGCATACACGCACCCATATCTGCACACACACATACATACATGCATCATGCATGTATCCATGCATTGCATTGCAATGCAATGCAAATGCGTGTACATACATTCAAACATCATGCATGCCGCCATATATATATAGATATGGATGTATATATGTACATGTATATATACATATGCATACATGCATGCATACAGACATGCATGCAGACATGCATGCAAACATGCAAACACACATGCATGCACACACATATATACATATGTACACACATATTCACACGTACAGGTATATACGCACATACATGCATACATACATGGCTACACACATACATACATACATACAGACAGACAGACAGACAGACGGACAGACAGACAGACAGACAGACAGACATACATACACATCCATACATACATACATACACAGATACATCAACACATACATACATACACACGTCCGTACATGCATACATCCATACGTACACACATACAAACCTACAACCGTGCATGTGTGCATGCATGCATGCATACACAAACACACATACATGCATACACACATGCAGACCTATCTACACGCACATATGTACGTACATGCACATATACATACATCCATACACAGTTATATCATAAACACAAACATACATTTACACGTACGTGTATACATGCACAGTCTCATACATGCATACATACACATACACGTACCTACCTACATGCATACATGCATGCATACACACATTCACACATACATACATGCATACACGCATACACAGATAACCTGCATACGTGCACACATACGTACATGGCTACATTCACACGTACACACATACAAACCTACAACCGTACATCAATGCAGACATGCATGCATGCATGCACACATACACACACACATATACATATACATATATATATATATATATGCATACCTACATACACACATACGTATATGCATAAACGCAGGCATGCATACCTACCCACATACATACAGATACACACTTATACATTCACATGCATACACACGTCTAAATGCATACACGCATACATGCATGCATACGCACACCTACATACATACATGCATACACACATACACATACATACATACATACATACATACAGACAGACAGACAGACAGACAGACAGACAGACAGACAGACAGACAGACAGACACACATACACACATACACCCACCTGCGTCGGTGCTTGCCAGGCACACGCGCGGCCCAGGATTTGTGTACACGCCCTCCTGTCAGGATCGATGTACGTGAGCAGAGCTTTCGCCCGCCCGCCGCCTACACGGGGGCGGTCGGCACCCAGAGGTTGCCGTCAACCACCACCATTCCCACGTCGTCAGGCACCTCGACTTCCTGCTAGGCGCGGCAAGCCGGCCGCCGCGGGCGCCCGCCGCCGGCTGGCTCCTCCTCCTCCTCCTCCTCCCCATATTCCTCCTCCTCCTCCTCCTCCCCATATCCCTCCTCCTCCTCCTCCCCATATTCCTCCTCCTCCTCCTCCGCCTCCTCCCCATATTCCTCCTCCTCCTCCTCCTCCTCCGCAGAGGAAACGGCAAGGGGCTGGGGGTCGGTTCAGGGGGAGCGCATCGACCCTCAATCGCCCATGGAGCGCTGATCTGGGCCGGACAGCCCACCTCGCCCAGGAACGTCCGGATTTGCTGTCGTTGGCCTATGGCAGATTTTTCTCGGAGGTGGATAGACCTCCTACCCTGACACGTCGATTAAGGAATTGGCCGTTTCCGGTTCGCGAGAGGGCGTCGCGGCCATCATTTTTGCGGGTCCAGGCCCGTCGGTTTCTTGAGATGGATGGTCCCTAGAAGGTTTTTTTCCCCTGTATTTTTTTTAAATTATTTTTTTAGTAAGTTTATTTTTTTTTCTAATTCTATTATTTTTTTTTATTTAAGTGTTTTTTTTTTTTTAAGGGAGGTTTACTTGTTTTAAAGATGAGGTTTGTCCCACGCGATATATTCGGCGTGTACAAGCGTGATCCAGGTCGATTTGGCTTGCCTTTTTCGCATATTAATGCGTGCTTTTACTTCCCGCCTGAGCTGCGCATCCCTATTCTGTGCCCCTTCCCTCTCCCCCCCTTGTCTTGAAGTCTTGTTACGGCAGCCATGGAGACTGACTCGTGAATGTGAAGGGTACGAGAACCCAGCAGAGAGAGGCAAGCAAGGCGGCGGGGGGGGGCAACCACGTGCGAGGAGGGACCACGTGGGCCCCCTCCTGCACACGTACGCCACCTGCTCGCACCGGGGGGGGGCCGAAAGGTCGGCCTGTGCCAGGGGGTGGGTTTGTAGCTCGGCCAGCCTGGGCCCCGGGAGCAGCGGCGGGCGGCACCGCGGCCGCCCACCGCGACCGTATGTCTTACTGCATCGTACGAGTAGTTTAGGAGCTTTGGTTTTTTATTTTCGCTCGGGCGTCGCCGTCTCCTGACGACCCCCCTTCGAGGCCCAGGGCGATTGCATTACCCTGGGAGCTCGCGCCCGCGCATCCACGCGTAGTGACTATAGCAGGGGGGCGAACGTTTCATAGCATGTCGTAGCATACCATAGCAAAGCCCATCATATAATACCATGTCAGACCACCACATGCAACAGCTCATCGTCCACCTCCTCATTGGTTCGTCGATGTTTCGACGGCTTGCGCCGAGTCACACGGCGTCGCGTACAACTGCGTGTTGTTTGATGTTATGCTTTGTTGCTTGGTGTAAGTTACCAGGGTGCTCGTGGCCTCCCTTGGCTTTAACTTGTCCCCACAGGGGGGCCCGAGAGGCTCCGAGCCCTCCTCCTTCTCTGCCTCCCCCCTCCTCGTATACCCTTCCTATCGCGGCATCGTTGCATTAGACGGAGGTGATGGGTGGGCGACTAGTGAGATTAAGAAGGAGTAGGAGGAGGAGAAGGAGGAGGAGGAGGAAGAGGAGGATAATGATGATGATGATGATGATGATGAGGAGGAGGAGGAGGAGGAGGAGGAGGAGGAGTAGGAGCAGCGAACTTGCAATAACGAATCGAATTGCGACCTCCTACCCGCCTGTGGCGACCTGCCTCGTCGCTGCTCAGGCGAGCAGACGGTCTACACTGCCATGGAGGTGCTGCACGGATTGGACTTGAGCACCTACTTGCGGGACCCAGCCTGTCGCGGTCTCACTCCTATCTCTCCCTTGCCCCGCTCCCCCCTCAAAGGTGTTCGCGGTTCGGTCCGGTCGCCCGTTTCGCGGGCGGCTGCTCTCGGTCGGTTCGTTTCGGCTTGCTCGTTGGCTGCGACGCTGCTCCCTTCCAGGCCGTCGTTCGGCCCGTCAGTTTCGGCCGGCTCCGGCTTCGCAATCTGTCTGGTCGGTTGTCGATGTTGGTGTCGCTGTGGGCGTCTGTGCCTTGCCGTCCATTCACTGGCAATCCCTCCCCTGTTCCCCCTCTTGTGCTGCCTCGCCCTACGGGCTGAGGAGGACGAGGACGAAAAGCGCGAGGGGCCCTCCCTTGACAATGCCCATGGGTGTTTTCAGTTTTGTTGTTTTTCCCGCAGGGGTAATTGGGGGTAGATGGAAAGGAATGCGGCTGTTTGAGAGGTAAATGACCGTCACTCAGTTGAAGAAGGTATTGTGACCGACAAGATGATCTAGCATCTGGGCCTTGTCGTTGGCGGTCTGCGGGTGATTCTTGCGCAGGCGGGGATCCCGCGCCTACACTCCATGGACAAACGGGCAAAACCGACGCAAATCCGCAAAGTGTGCTCTGGATGGGGAGGCGAAGAAGAAGGAGGAGGAGGACCAGCTTAAAACTAATATGCTTTGACGATATTGCGATAAGCCATCCCTCCAAGTCACCTCATATTTGGATGCCCGGAATGGGTACCGAAAATTGGTACAATGCCCAACAGCAGTTCCTTCTCATTTTGAACAGGACTCGCTGTCGGTGTCGCCGCGGCCTGTGTCCATTTGAGACAGAAGTCCGCCTGCCCAACACCGGCCGCTGTTGGTTTGGGACAATATTTGTTGTTGGGCATTGTGCCCTTTCTTTCCGTACCCATTTCGGGCGTCCAAATCATAGGCCCCTACAAGGATTGATTTTGACAGGGGAGTGCCCCGTTGGAAAACAACTGTTTGAAACTCGTGAACTGGGCCAGAAAACCATTCCTGTGACTCCGACGGCGCGAATCACCGCCCTTCTTGGGGCTTCAACACCACGAATCAACGTGAATGCTCCGAGTCCGACATCGTGCCAAGACGCCACTTCTGGGACGTAAGCCGTGTTAATATTTGAAACTTTTGTAAACTCTTCAAACGAGTATGGTTGGCGCTAAGGCGAGAGCCACATTTTGGAAAGGAACCGCCCACAATCCGCGAACCTCCTGCAACTTGTTAGTACGAATCGGCTCGGCGCTCAGGTGGGAGCCGCATTTTGAAAGCGGCCCGCCCTCCATCTCTGAAGTCCTTGCAAACTTTGACGACGATTGTTCGCGGCGCCCAGGCGAGAGGCACATTCTGAAAACGACCCGCCCTCCATCTGTAAACCTCTTGCGGAGGGGGGAGATGCGACACCAACACCACCAGGGGGCCCACCTCCAGCGAGGAGGTCCACGATGCCCCCCCGAGCTGGAGGCTGGGGATGTCTCGAGCGAGAGGAGGGGACCACACCACCAGGGAGACCCCCCTTTGCTCATCGCACCTCCTCTCCCTGTTGGTGTTGGCGTCGCCTGTCCTTGTTCCTTCTTCCGACTGTTTACGACGACTGAGCGCGGCGCTGGGGGTAGAAAGAGAGATCCGCATTCGGAGAGCGGCCCGCCCTCCGTCCGTAAAGCTCTTTGCATATGTGCAACCTAAGGATCAGCAATGTGTAGGAGGAGGAGGGGGAGGAGGAGGAGGAGGAGGAAGAGGAAGAGGAGGAGGAGGAGGAGGCGGAGGAGGAGGAGGAGGGAGGAGGAGGAGGGGGAGGAGGGGGAGGAGGAGGAGGGGGCTGGGAGGGGAGGAGGGAGGAGGAGGCGGGGAGGAGGAGGAGGAGGAGGTGAAGGAGGAGGTGAGGAGAGGGGTGGGGAGAAGGAGGAGTAGGGGAGGAGGAGGAGAGGAGGAGGAGGAGGAGGAGGTGGAGGAGGAGGAGGAGGAGGAGGAGCAGGAGGAGGGGAGCCTCAGACGAAACGCCCGGCCCGCCCAGCAGACACGCCTCGGGGTGCGACAGGGAGAAGTTGCTCACAAGGCCAATGCACGGAGGAACGGGAGACACCCCTTGCCCAGGAGTCGTTGGCTTCGCTCTGGACCGTTTTGCCCCAAACGGCTTCGCCCCCGACCGTCTCGCCTGCGGGCCGCGTATATCAGGAGGAAACAAATACACAGGCACAATGAATCGTCGATTTTCAAAAAAAAACATGATCGACCCACGAACCCGGAAAGGAATATAGCACTGTACCACATGGCAGCGTTTTCAAAGACACATGATTGGGTGACGGGCAAATGCAATGCTGAGTGTATCGATCTTGATGTACCCTGCCGAGGGCTGTGCTGTGCTGCACCGTGCTGAATTGCGATGTGCCATGCCGCGATTGTGCTCTACAGCCTCGATGCATCCGAGTCCTGACCGAACTGATCTGGATCTTAAGCTCGAGCTGCCCCTCAACACCATAGTAGCTGCCCTAATGGGAACATGTCAGCTGAGACCGCGCCGCGAATCGTCCAAGGGATGGCGCAGGCGGTCTCGTGCCAGGGGACGTGCCATGGGGTGTCGCACCGCGGGACGTGCCAAGGGGACGCGCCACGGAACGTGCCAATGGATGTGCCACGGGATGTGCCAGGGGACGCGCCACGCGACGTGCCAGGGGGACTCGCCAAGGGACGCCCCACGGAACGTGCCAAGGAACGTGCCAAAATGCAATGCTGAGTGTATCGATCTTGATGTACCGTGCCGAAATATGTGCTGTGCTGCACCGTGTTAGTTTTGATCTTCTTTTTTTTTTTTTTTTTTTTCTTGTGCTGAATTGCGATGTGCAATGCCGCGATTGTGCTCTATAGCGTCGTGGATCGAGACCTCCTTTGCATCCGAGTCCTGACCGAACTGATCTGGATCTTAAGCTCGAGCTGCCTGAACACATAGTAGCTGCCCCAGAGCTATTTGACAAAGGGACATGCCAGGAGGACGCGACGCGGAACGTCTCAAGGGACCCGCCAAGCGACGTGCCAAGGGACGCGCCATGGGGACGCACCGCGGGACGTGCCAAGGGGACGCGCTACGGAACGTGCTGGGGACAAGCGTTTCGCTCGAAACATCTTGCCAACATCCTCAAAATTCCTGCGCGCGGGACGCGGCACGCGCGAGACATCCTCGGAATTCTTGCGAGCGGGACGTGAAAACAAGCATTTCGCCTGAGACATCCTCTGAATTCTGGACCCCACGAGGCCCCCCAATTTTGCAAAACCAGCGTTTCGCTCGACACGTTTTCAACAAAGTATGAAAGACACGCATTTCGCTCGAGACATCCTACCAAAATTCTAGGAAATCCTCGCAAAACAAACGAATTAATCGAGACATCCTCGAAATTCCTGCGCTCGGGACGCGGCACGCGCGAAACATCATCGGAATTCCTGCGCGCGGGGCGCTTTTCCGAGTCGCGGTCGGCTCTGCAAAACCAGCGTTTCGTTCGAGACATCCTCAACAAATTCTGAAAACAAGCGTTTCGCTCGAGACATCCCCAACTCTGCAAAACCAGCGTTTTGCTCAAGACATCCTCAACAAATTCTGAATTACACTGCGTCCGCGCTCCCAGGGTTACGATCCTTCGTAAATTACACTACACCCGCGCTCCCAGGGCCACGATCCCCTGTAAATTACGCTACGTCAGCGCTCCCAGGGCCACGATCCCTCGTAAGGGCTCCTGGGCCCTCCTGGGTCTTCCTTGGACCTCTTGGGCCCTCCTGGGCTCTCCTGGAGCCTCCTGGAGCTTCTCCTGGGCCCTCCTTGGGCCCCCTGGTGCCTCTTGGAGCCTCCTGGGTCCTCCTGGGACCTCCTGGGCTCTCCTGGGCCCTCCTGGGCTCTCCTGGGCTCTCCTGGAGCCTCCTGGGCCCTCCTGGGCGAAGTCAAGGTCCGAAAACACATGGGACTTGCCACATTTCTGACATTCGGTGCCACCCCTCACGCAGGTCGGCGGGGTCAGGATCCGAAAACACAGGGGATTTGCCACATTTTTGGAATTCCGTGCCACCCCTCACGCAGATCGGCGGGGTCAGGGTCCAAAAACACACAGGATTTGCCACATTTCTGGAATTCCGCGCCACCCCTCACGCAGATCGGCGGGGTCAGGGTCCAAAAACACACGGGATTTGACACATTTCTAGTATTCAGGGTCAAAAAAACACAGGAGATTTTTGCTATTTCCGAATTTATACAACTTCAAGAATCCAAAACTCCGTTCCCAGCGCCGTTCCGGAGCTCGCGGTACCTCGTTATTTATCGAGCGAACGCGTTTACCTCGTTTTTTATCGTTTAAAGTCGATGTCGGAAAAAAGTTGACTTCACCTGTGAAATATCGAGGTTTCCTTAAAGGCAGTAGCGTGAGGGGTGGCGAAAAATGGCCTTCGTCCTCACAATTGAAATCCGCCGACCCCCTTCGACTTCGCAATTTAATGCTCAAGAATTCCGCCGGCCCCCTTCAAGTAAAAACCGGGGGGAAGACCATCTAAAAGAGAACCCTGGGCCCAGGCCCTTTCCGGGAAAAAGTGGGAAACTATGGGAAGTGGGGGGTGAAGACAATAACCCAGAAAATATTTAACCATGTGGACCCACGAACCCGGAAGGGATATAGACTGTGGGCATGTCGCACGTTTTCAATGATCCCGCAACTGGCAACACTGCACGAAACATCCACGGACACCTCACGAACACCCAACGAGAGACACCTCAAACTAAACTTCCGACGAGACCCACCTCACGAAAACATTTCAGCGAGACAAGACAACCCCGCCGAAACTTCCATCCCTTTCCACGAGAACCCCCCCAGGAAACTTCCAATCTCCACGACGACAGCCCAAAAAAACCACTCACCATGCGTGTGGTTCGTGCTTGGGGATTGTTCGTGCTGGGGTGGTGGGTCGTGCTGGGGGGTGGTCTGTCGTGACCTGGGGGTGGTCGTGCTGGGGGGTTGGTC